CGGCTGAGTCGCGCAAACACGTGTAGAGGCATGTGGATGACAACGGCCTCTGCTTATCCAGTCATGCTGACGGGCATATTCGTTTGGGAGTCTCGTGGATGGAAGTGTGGAGGACCCATAACGTCTCTCAATCTACCCACTGAGCCTGCATGGATGGAGCACAAGGGGCCTATTACCTTTCGCACCCGGGGACTGAAGGACTCTCTCATTCCTATGTGGACCACCATTACCGGCTACCATTCAGGCGAAACAGAGGCGTGGGTTCCCTATTCCATCTGGAGGCTCTCAGGGGCATGCATCATCCGGCAGATACACCGGAACAAACCTTAGCAGTTGGTCTTTGACAAATACAGCGGCGCTTCACCGTCTTAGGGTTCCCGACGTATGCCAATTGCGGGCCTGGCCTTGACCTTAGGCCGGAGCTTGCTTGGGAAATGGGTCCCCAGATCCATCAGGCCCATACCGGCAGGGAACCGACTATGCAGTGCTGGGGGTGTCATTTGGTGGTGCGGTACTGGTGGCCGACATTTAGGTCCTTATTGACTCAGGGGTCACAGGTCAGCGCACAGGTCCTTCTCACTGTCCTTTGAAGGCCCATCACCGCAAGCTGGGGCCCCTGACTAAGACTCCGACCAGCCCTTCGGTCACTTGGACTTCCTAATCGGACCCCTGACCTTCGGTCCCAGCGAGAAATCCATGCTCTTCGAGCCTCCTCGAGCACTGCCTCTGGGGAACTTGGGACCCTTGCCAGCACAGCGCCGCCTGTTCCGCGCTGTGGGGCCTGACGGACGCTGGGGCCCTGATCAGTGTAGTTCCGGTTGGTGTCTGCTTGGGAAATGCGGCTTCAGGCTCACGCCGAAACAAACAACAAACGAAACAAACAAAGTTCGTCCTAAATTTAATTGTTTTATCGCCTAACGAAACTACCATAGAGATGTTTGGCCTTATCTTACACTTCGTTGTCGCCTCCCAAAATTTGCCTTCGCTGAGAGCCACGGCGTGACTTTGACCTTGCATAGATCAGTGGCATCACTAGGTACATCTAAATTTGGTTTCAAAAGATTCGTCAATTTCCTACAACTAGACAAAATTTGGCGTGGTTACGCCGCGCGGTTCGAGAATTTTGGAAAAACATTAAAACGTAGAGAGCGGGGAATTGGCCACCACCCGAGAGCGCAAAAGCGGAGCTGCTCCGCTCCACCAGATCAGCTTCCCACGCCCTACTCTCCATAAGGCCGTTAGGGCCCCTTTGCAATCCTCATGGCCCTGGCTGTTGGAAGGTGTACCCAGAATGACGGCAACATTTCAAAGCCAGACAGTCTGCCACTGGACCGGGTCGGACCAGCGGCACTCATCCGCATTCGGCGAAGTTCCATCCGGCTACGGTGCATGAGTGAAACTTGCTGCTAATTGGAGATCCGGCTACTTCCCAGCATTTCAGAACATTAGTGCCAGTGAGACGCCTTTTGCGCCCCTGGATGAGCGAGGGGATCGCAGGCGTGAGAAGTACCATTAATGCATAATCACTAAAACGTGAGCTGCTGGAAATCGGCACCTTCGAACCCCATGCCAATTGGTCCCGCCAATGCACTGTTAAGTCCTTCACAGCATTCACTAACTTACGCACCACGTTGCCTGAAATTGGACAGCTTTGAGGCTGACCGGCACCGCGGACCAAATCTTCAAGGACAAGGGATGTTCATGCGCTTGGCGACATTTCACACAATGTCTCCGGTAAACCGATACCAATCACCGCCTCGTCGAATAAACGAGTCGTGCGTTGAGCAGCCGGGCGAAAGCTGCTGGACATTACTAGCGTTGGCTAAGCGTACCGGCATTTCGGTCGGCTTACTGCTGGGATGCAATGGATATGCTTGTGCGTGCAGAGCCGGCACAAGGGACTCCCTGGTGCTGATCTCCCCCAAGGCAGGATTTTTTTTGTAGCTTGTACTGACTTATTTATCGTCCTTGTCAAGTTCGTACATTGCTGGTAATCCTGTACGTGGCCTCTGCTTAAATGACTTCTCCGCTCGTTTTGGAGGGCGTTGGTAGTCCAGTTGACGCTAGTTCCTTCTTATTTCATTGATGAGTACCCATGTTTACAGCTTTCGAGCACACCACTTGCAACGGCAGACGATGGGCTTTCTACTCACACAAAGCATGTCCCTGCATCTCTCTTGGTTGCCGGGTGACAGCCCCTCTGTTCGATCACTAATGTAAGCAACGTTGGGCCAGGTTGGAACCTTGAGCGCAGCTATACGAAGGCCGTTTTTTAATTCACATCAGTAACGCTAGCGATGATATATTTAGATAGGAAAGGTGAACAATCACAATCACAACAAAAGCAGGAGTATTTTGGGCACTCTTGGTCTGACTGCCCAGTCGCCCTGACGCCAACTGGGCAGCACGCAATACCTCGCACCGCGTTAAGGTGGTGCCCACCGAGAGGGTCCTGCGTATTTACCAACTAATATGTACCAGCTCCCGGCTGTGCCCCCAAACCGACTGGCACGAAGCCGGCTGGGAGCAGGGGACAGCTGAGAACCTTGTCCGCCCGCTTGAGAGGCGCGCGGAGGCATCCGGGGAAGGAGGCACTGTGGCCGGTCCCCGCCCTTGGCGTTGAAAGAGATAGACGGAAGGAGGCTATGTTGTACCGCCAGTTGAAACCGAGTAATTATTACGCATGATGTCACGCATCCGTATTTAACTGAAGTCCTTTAGTTCAATCTCCGTCCAGTGTTTGAGCGGACCGCGTTGGATGTAGCAATACTTATGACTCGAGAACGCGAAGGCTGAGCTTGAGTACAACGGTGAGTGGCTGAGAGTTCGGAGATTGCCTGTTCTTCAGCTTTGTTGGCCTGCGCGGAAACGACGGCATAGAAACTCGCCTGGGAAAGCACCGCTGTGCGTGGGTGAAGAGATCATTGAGCTCGGGGTTTGCCCCGTCGTTTCATCGCTTTCAATTCCTGTTTATTGTCCCTTAGAGTGGCAGAACTTGCGCTGTTGTGATGAACGCTCGCAGCTGTGTTGCTAACCGATCGCATTGCTGAGTAAAACGGGTATGGTTGCATTAGCGACAGACAATCTGTTTTCGGTTCAATAAAGGCCAGCCGTCTTGATGGTTATAGACTGAACTTCAGCATGAGGAAACCAACTTTGCACAAAAAAAATTAGATCAGCTTCCAAAAACTAGACTTGAGCATAAGGATACCGACTTCGCACAAACATCAAGGTCAGCCTCCAGGTCACAAATGCCGGAAAGGTCAGCTGGTCATTGGCCAGAGAGCGTCAAACCAGGTCGTGGTGACCCTACCGCACCATCATGTGACACACAAAGCCCTCGCGTCCTGCCTGGCGACAGGGCGAAGGCAACATTGTCCATGGAACTGGACGATTAGACTCTGAGTGGTGGGTCCAAGGGGTACGAAACAAGATGTACTTAGCAGGTACTGTGAACCCAAGGCACTCGGAACGCGTGTAGTAAGGAGAAAGGCGTGGGGTATGCGCCATTATCTGTACAAACGGGATCGTCAAGCTATATTTAAAGTCACGATTATGAGTGCCAAATTCATGTGGGCTTTGCTGGTAAGACGTAAGTCCTCCTGCGAGTCCGGAGAGCTGGGTCATTTTCTCTACCACAAGCTATTACTAGCCAGACCGCACGCTGACTCGGTTTGCATCGATTGGTAAAGAACAGTCAAATTTGAGCGATCAGGCCATACTGTAATGAACGAATGTCGTTTCAACCACCCACCGCAGCGCAGTGAACTTTTAAGCAACAAAAGATAGCTTCTCTTGTCCTATCGCAAATGCCCGAATCCTTTTTCAGGTGGCCAACTGCGATTTAATTATTTGTGAGAATTATTGCCGGACCCTTCCAACAAAAAACAAAATGTATTGCGTCAGTCGCGCAGTTTTGGAGAATAATAAAATATCCACCAGGCTAAATGGTTTGTCGACGTGACCACAAGATTGCAAATTTCGTAAATGACGCTTTGAAGAAATGAAAAAGTGCGGCAAGCACATCGTATAACGAGTGTATGTAGTGGATACAAGCGCCACCTTACATAAATGAACTTGGGCACCCAGGTGGAGTTTTTGAAATGCACCCAGGTGGAGTTTTTGAAATGCACCCAGGTGGAGTTTTTGAAATGCACCCAAGTGGAGTTTTTGAAATGCACCCAGGTGGAGTTTTTGAAATGCACCCAGGTGGAGTTTTTGAAATGCACCCAGGTGGAGTTTTTGAAGCTTTGTTTGTGTCGGTGAAGGATACAGAACATACAGTTACGTTGAAAATGATCCTTGTTGAAGAGAGTGTTGCACACATTTGTGTGGGGTTTTGAACTTGACAGCCATTTCGAAGACCATTCGGTGCTGTGCACTACAATGTCATTTTAAGGCTAAGCACCCTCTTGTTTTTTAGTTTGACTCCCGCGAACTTGGGCAGACTATTTCGTGTAAACCATGTAAAGGTCGCCAATACATTCACGACGTCACATAAACGTCACACGAACGCCACCTCATTGGTCATGTAATGCTGAAGACCAAGAACGGATTTTATATATGTTATTCGTGGATGGCGCACGTCAGCACGATTAGTGTCATCAGTTGGTCTTAGCCATTTTAATGTGCTGAGTGCAAGATTCGAACATAAACAACGTTTTGTGTTGAATCCATCCACCCGTGGCGGGATGGGTTCAAGTCGCTTTAGGGCGCTCGCTGTTTGCCCTTGGCAGCAGCGGTCGTGCTAAAGGTCAGTTGACGTCTGGGGGCAGGACGGACCGTGCCGAGCATTGCGGCACGTAAAGCTTCCGCCATTAAATTCTGCCGTTCCCTGGAATTGCGCGATCGGATGGTGGGGGTCAGGGCTCACACAAGCGCTGCTTAGCGTGAGTGCTGGTCCCAGAAATCCATGCATTCGAAGGATTCGGACCAAATTGGTAAGCAAAAATTTAAAAATTGTGCTACATAATACAGGAAATTGGGTAGTGGTGCGAGCCATGACGGAAGTGAGGTCGGGAACCATATATCATTCAAATAGCGCCATACCCAAGTATATAAATGTTCGCAAGCCATATGAAATTACGAACAAATATACAAGAACAACACAAAATGGCAAAGTAAGCGCACATAACAGTATAAGGGTTTAGCAAGAACGTGCCGGCAAGTGCCACCTCTCAGCATGTTGAAGTGCCACAGGTGAGTCAACCCGTCTGCTACAGAGCCAATTCTGACACGGTTATCCAGCAGCATTTCTGACGTCATACAAACGCTTCATGACGAAATCAAACGATGATGCATTGAGGAGTTCTTTATACAAAATAATGAAATGTTGTTGGCTAGAGCAGTCTTAATCGCCTGGAAGTACTCAAGTCATTACGCACAAGCATATGTCGTCATGTTTGAGGCGGCGCACCGCCGACAAGCAGAGTGTGCGTCTCGCGTTGACCTGGCGGTTAACGACAAGGTCGTTGTCGCAGATGTACAGTGCTTCCGGAACTTCGAAGCTTCCACCTGTCAGAGCAATGGGCGAAAATGATGGTGCTATTAATCATGGGCTATCTACTCAGTCGGCTGTTGTGGACCTCCTTCAGATGGCGACGAGGACCTCCATCTTGCAGGTGCATCGTAATGCGCCTGCCCCAGGTCCCTGGTCACGTGACCTGGGTAGATATCGCACGGACGGCGCGCGCAGGCACCGATATTGCAGCGAAACTGGTACACAACACTGGTCATTTCTCAGCATACCCGGGTCTGGGACAAGTTGTTGTTCATAACAGGGCTGGTCACTTTAGGGCGCCGGTAGAAAATGATCAGCTTAATTTTGTCATAACGTTCCACAAGCTGGCACTTCCTGGGCACGATACCTCGGATCGACTTCTCGTCCTTTTGTATGATGGCAGCAGCCTAAAAAAGGACGAACGAGAAGATCGTGATAAGCAGATCTCTCTTCTCTCTCTTCCGCCCTTGATCTCTACCTAAAAACGGGGCCTAGAGCCACACATCACGCCTGAGACGTTATTCCTGTTAATGCTTTATGAACGCCTATGAAGTTTTCTGACGACCGAGACGCATGATGCCCTCGCTTTTGCTCTACGTCTCGTTTCCCATCTCCCTCTCGCTTTCTCTAAAAAAAAAATGTGGCCTAGAACCACACACAACGCCTATAACGCCATCCCCGTTACTGTTTTACGTACGCCTCTGAAATATTTTGGCCATTGATATGCATGATGTTCCAGTGAAACAAAGCAATTCAGAATTGAGGTTTGATACAAAGCTCCAAAAACTAGTACTGAACAGACCTATAGCTGACGACTTTTAGTGTCATTCGACCTGTGGATTGGTGTAGGAGCATTCCAGCAACAATTTGCCTGTTACGACTTCATGAAAAGTTTGCAATCGTGTACAGACTAGAAGTCGCGGGCAGACAACCGTCGCTGTGCGGTCACAGACCTTCGAAGGTCATGTGCCGCGCCACGGGTCACAGGTCAACGCGTCACCAGTTGCCGGGACCTCCCCCGACGCCGGGCGCGCGTCGCTCCGCCTGCGCCGGTTTCGCGGCGCCGTGCTGCCAGCGACGGCACGGCCGCAGTCCCCGCCGGGGGTCCCGCCGCGGCGAGCGTGCGCGCCGTGCATCGCGACGCGACGAGGCCGACGAAATCAGCGCAGGTAGGCCGGCCGCTGCCGTGTCGTGACGCAGCACCACAGCTGCGGCCCCGCGGCGCGCACCTGAGGGACCCAGAGGCGGGCTCATCGACGCTCGTGGTTTGCATTGACCGGGTCTCAGACACTTGCAGTTTCATGCAAAACTGAGCGCGGGCTCGGTGCCGTTGATAGAAAGCCGTGGGTCTGTTCTAAGAAATGGACTTGGGAAGGGTTTATGTTCACCAGGATGCCTGGCAAACATGGATGTCTGGCTACTTTTCCAGCGCAAACACGGATGGTACGTAGAAAATGGGCAGTGTTACAGCAGCGCGAAGCAGGCGATTAATAACACGATGTGATCAGGACGTTGGGGAGAGATTTACGAACGGAAGATGTTGCTACTTTTAAGAGTTAAAGAAGCTCTACTCTCCTGCGATTCGCCTAGAGTGAAAGACCGGGAGGCTATTAGCAAGATTAGGTTGTTGTTGGAGCTGCAGGACGTATTCAACTGCAGAGACTGTATGGCGATGCCTGCCTTTCCTCTTGGTAGGAACAGCGGGCGCCGCAGGAAATCGACCCACATACTTTTAATTTATCAGTTACGCTGGCCAGTCTCAGGAATCTGCATTGTCTGTAAGGGCCGATCGAGTGCGTCTCTGGTTAACAACCACAATAACACTGAAGCACCAGAATGGCGAAAGCGGTACGAAAAGCGTAGAACGAGCAGCTGATACGCGACGCATTTCCGCGGTTCCGGCAGGTAAAGGGGCCAAGGTTGCTCGTCCATGGTCGAAGCCGGTGCGTCACTCGCGCTGCCCGTCCCCCCCCCCCAACCCCAGTGGTCTCGTGCCGGGCACTGAAGCCCGTGCTATCCTCTCCAATACACAATCCCAAACATAAACAAACAGAGGCCTACACGATGTGGGGGGGGGGGGGGGGGCAGTGAGTAGTGCCGTCCAGTAACTGAAATGTAGCAGTGGAAAGGGGTGCCTTTCGTGCTTGGTGGTTGAAGTTGGAGACAGTTCGCCTTTCCGCCCGTGCGTCTGCACCGAAACAATGTCCCCCTTTTGTATATATGCATGAATTGGGTGGTGCATAAATTGACATTCAACCCAAGGTTGCCTTTAATCTTGTTAGCAAGGGCATTGCCGGGGAAACTTACGTCATCTGACGAATTTTGCCACGGTAAAAGTTGATTTCGCAAGGTCGCGGCATCATTGCCGACGCAAGTAAAAGCGTGTTGAAGATCAACTTTGGTCATTTGAATAAGTTTCAGAAATATTTTGTATAAAAGAATCAGAAATGGTCTTGAAACTTATCTCATTGCAAATGAAATCCCCTTAACAAAATTTGGAATGCGGCCGTCGCATTACAAAATTTGTAAACCGGCCTGACAAGCCAACCTGAGCGTTTAAACTGAGTGATTCATTGCACGGTGCGGCATGGAGACAAAGCCGTGCACAGGCCTGTGCCTGCCTGTGGATTGTGCTGTCCAAAATAACTTCTGTTTCTGGCAGGTGATTTCAGCCACAATTTTTGAAAGTATTTACTGATGGTGCTCGCTTGTTTTGGCGTCATTTTCTTGTCTCGACACCGTGAAATGAATTTACCTTGCAATGCTTCGGATGCAACGTGTTTTTACAGTTTTTTTCATTTTCTATTTCTGGTAACGTGGCGCGATTAATACCGGAATATATTTTTCTACGCCACAGGTAGGCGCCCCTTTCGTCTTCCTATCATTGTGTGATAATAAAGAAGCCTGTTTGTAAAAACAGGTACCGATAGGATTCCGTCCTTGGTGGTCAATGCATACGTCAACGGAGATAGACGTAGGTGGCCCACTTCAGACCAGAAAAAAAACAGTTTATTTCATTGACGTAATAACCCATCTATAATGTCCCTTTTCTCCCTTGCTTGGTATATCTACGACGATAGAACCGATGACGAAAAGGGCCATGTTGCCCTTTCCTACCCCCCCCCCCTCCCCCACTCCTCCTCGCCTACTTTGGAAGACGTCCTGACTTGCAGCCATGTTTGAATAGCATTGACAATGCCGTCACCAGCTAGTCAGAACGGCCCTCGGTAATGCGCACGCTGGCATTATCGCGACTTCGAACTTTATTGCACTTGCAATCTGGCTGGAATGGCATGGTCGTACATGCTTCAAGTGGCTCACATGGCATCTGTATAACCTCCATGATCAAGAACGCACATCACATTCACATTGCATTCTAGACGCAGGATAAAGCATAGCAAAGCCGACCTTTGGTCGAATTGCCCCCATAAGGTCTTCTCGATGGGCCATGCGACAGTGGACAACCGTGCATGTGGCATTCAACAACTTCCAGTGCACTAACGCTGATAGCGTGCGCGTGATATGAGATAGTCATTGCAGTTGGGCGGTCCAACATTTCGGATGAGTACTGCGATGGGACTGCATCGTAGTCCAAACAGGGAAGCCGATTCATCACCGATATACTCGATATACATACGAATACCACGATTCCATCAGCTATTCCTAACCTGGTGCCATAAGATATTCTTCAACTTAAAGAACCGTGATAAGAACTTGGGGCATTGCAGACTAGTCTAAGCTGGGTCATTCCACAATAAATCGATCAGAGGACAACAAGGCGCCCACTTCAAATTTGACGAAAATACATGTATTTGATAATAATACGGCCGAAGCATGCTATTGCATGTTTTAGAGCCCTACGGCATTCCGATTAGGATGTCAAAGCAGACAGAAGACATTTTTTGGGACTGTGGACAATTTATTTATTTATGTTTTCAGTGGGTTTACGTCTCTAGGTGCTCTGGGCGCCAAGATAGGGCAGAAAATGTGCAAAACGGTCAGAAAGAGCAAAAGCAACTTTGCTGGCTCGTCCGCACGTAACGCGTGACACGTACGAATGCAAACCTTGCACCAAGTGATTCTTGGTGCAACCGAGTGATCTTGGTGGCACCGAGTGATTCACCAAGTGAAGTGATTGGCAGCTCACCCACTCGTCCTGCAAAGTGATATGCACCGAAATTTTAAACGGTACATTGCTGGGCTCCTTGAGATGAGATCACGTCCCTACTTGCACAGCGCCGAGATGTGGCACAACACCTGAAAAAAAAACAGCCGAATTAGTTTTGCCAGCTCGTGGACGTGAGACATGTATGGCTCAAGACTGGCACCACGCCATTCCCCGATTCCCCTATCGAAGTGTGCGACTTCTGAGCCGCTCGGAGCGGAGAGGCCGCGAGACCTCGGCCACCTTTTGACCTCAGCCACTCTGGTTTCTCAGCTATACGCCCGCGAAAATAGGAAAGATATATCGGGACAGTATTTCAAAGCCACCTTGGCATTTATGACGTCATGATAACGTCATTCAATTCCTGCCATTTCACATGTCATGCAGGTACCAAGACCAAAAAATAACATTGTCGGGGCGTTCCCATCTGGCGTTCATGAGCACGACTTCCAGATATAAAGGCCGTCAATTGGCTCTCAATCAATATTGTGCAAGACACTATGACGTAATCAAACCACAACGCATTGAGGAGTAGATTCACTATACAGATATTTGGGCCGTCTGGAGCAGTCTTTTCCATTAAAAATCATACTAATAGTTACAAGTGAGCCTGTTTCAACGTACCTGATGTTTGCTTCAGTAACTTCAAAAGTGAAGCATTCCCATAAAGCAAGGCATGGCAGTGAACTACGCCACATGATCTCCCAGATGGTTATTTCATTTCAAAAGCTCATAAAAATGTGGAACACCACCTTTAACATCAATTCTAAATGAGGCACCGGGTTTTGAACACAGGCAGACCGCGTGGCTTAAATTCTTTTTCGGTGATGTGCGTAATTTATTCAAAATTTTCGGTGTTCACTGTTTGCGTTTGTTACTCCCAAACTGATAAGGACTAGTCGCCGAACACGTTTTGTATTTTTTGTTACCTTCAGTGAGCCCTGAGTGTAAGAGTACTTGCGTATCATGATATGTTTTGCCTCTTACGACTGTTCTCACCTTATCACTTCATCAAATGGCATGTTATAATCAACGCAAAACATCTAAAGAATAGTGACAACTAAATATGGAGTCAAGTACTTAAATGCAAAAATGTAACAACATGAATGCTGAGCCTGTTACACTATGCATTTTCAGTAATCACACATTCTCGCCCACAATGACACACCTACAGGACTTGCGGGTTTATCTGTTTCCACTGATCGGTGGCTAGACTACAGCGAGGTCACTGCGGCGCAGCTCACTTCTGCGGCACTGTGGAGCCGGGCGAGCTAACCCCCCCCCCCCCCCCCCTCTCCCTTTCCTCCCGCACCAAATTTGCGGCGCACGTTGCTGGTTTCATGGCTGTGACCAGCACGGCTGAAGGCGTCTAATGGCATCAGTTTAATTACATTCAACTGCACTTAACATGCGTTTATCTCGAAACCTCGTAACGTAACTTGATTGGCTTGCAGGCCGAGCAGGACGACTGTGTTTCCAGCGGAATGGCCCTTCCAACATAATGAAATTGGGATAATCGCTGCATTATGAGCGCAAAGCAATCTTTCAATCTGAAGACGTGCACTCGTAAGAACTTCATTCAATACAATTCATTGTGCCATACACCACGCCAGTGATCGAGTATGCAGCACACATCTCTGGTGCTCTTGGCTGAACACTACGTGTCCTCGTAACTGAACGGCAGTGGTGTTTTCCGAGGCCTCTGAGGCATTAGCGCGTGACGCGATGTCCCATGCCGGGGCGCCACTGCCTGGAGGTCTCCACGAACCGTGCCGGGAAGCCCGTCCCTTTTAATCAGCCCCGCCGGGCGGCCGCGCGGTCAGGAGAATTGCGCCTTAGGGCAATGCGCTGATTGTTTCAATAACAGCCTGTAATTTGTCGCCACGCGTCTCAACACCGCTAGGGATGACGACAGCGGACTGGTGCTGGATTCGATTGAGATTAGATTCACATCAAGGGGCACACCAAATATTGGTAAATCAAGTTCCATTCGAGTCCGTTGTGTTTCGCATGATTCAAGTCAGAGTTGACTGAATTCTTGCTTTTTGAGTTAGTTGCAGCAGTACACACTCAACTTGAATGAACATCACGTTATACATGTCCATACAGGTTCGAAAATAACCCTAAGTGTACATGTATATATATATTGCATGCCGAAGCATTGGCGTCTCGTTGCACAAGTTGTGCCATGCAATGTTTTCAAACATAGTAGCTTCAACCAGGATAGTTTGGTAGCGGATGACAGAAATACACTACTATGTATCTGCTGACGTTACAGATCGGTGGCGACAGAGTGTTTTTTTCCGATGCCCCTCAGATTAGTGCTATTCACAAATTGTTTCAGCCAGGTTTCACTTCACATATTGAACAGTATAAAGTACCAAATAAGTAGGCTTATTACTCGTTATAAGAATCGTGGCTGGCCTCAGCACCTTGCGACGAACGTGATCAGTCTGCCACGTGGCTTTTTCAACCGACGTGACATTTGAGACGAGTGACTTCCAATGCACGCTTCGCGGCGTAGCTGTGGGTTCAAGGCGTTCAATGCAAGGCTGCACGCTACCGTTGGTTCTGTTCATGTCGTGAGAAGCTCGCCCGCTTGAAGAACGTTGCTCACCGTCAGTTTCTTCAAGGCGGTATGCGGCTCTTATGATGATCTACCATGGAGTATGTCTCCGGTAGTAGCGTAAGAAAAGTGGTGTCTCTAACCCGTAACAGCTGACAACGGCCCTCAGCAGATTACGCTGTCGTCATGACAACGGCGATCGCGACAACTGCGGTTGTCGCAGACTCGGAACGCTTTCTGGGGCTTACAGGAAAAGAAGAAGTGTAGTGCTGTTGCAAAGCGATTACAGCGTAATTTGGACTCGAAAATAACTGAAATGAATAATCGTATTACATGTTGATCGAGCTGCACTGACACTATCCCGTGTGACTATTAGACGCAGGTGCCGGATGTTGAGTATGTTTTGGAAACATGCCCCAACGGTAAGACACTCCCTTTAACAGTAATTGGGACGTCCTTAAGAGACTGGCTCATACTTGTATGAGTCTTTGAACTGATATGGTCATGTTCATGATCATTCTCTGCATTTCACGGTTATGCCCTTCTTACGACCTGAAATGGTCGTTCGAAGCTAGATGTACGCGAACTTGTGCAGACTATTTTTCGCAGTCTGATGCGAAGTTATTCGATATGCAGGACATCATATTATCGCGGTTTGTAATGGATAGCATATGCATTTGGGCAGTTCTACAGATTTTGACGTGCAGTGAAGCTGATAGCCGAATGCACGGTGAATAGCGCACTAATCGAAAGCGCAAATGCGACTAAAAGTATGGCATCATGGAAAATATACAAGAACAATACAAAAGAATGCAAAAACGCCCCCAGATGCCGCTAATAACGTACACGCCTAGACCACTGACGCCATCTTCCTGCACGCAACGTACAAGCGAGTCGCTGCGTCCGCTACAGCGACTGGCGATCTGGCAACGACTCTGACGTCACGCCAGTGTTCCCAGACGTTGTCCAACGATGACATATTCAGGAGTAATTTTACTAAGTGTTGAAATTTCGTGATTTCAGTCAGTATTTTGCATTTAAAAGCATACTTATTGTTGCAAGTGAGCTTTTCCACCATGCCCAGTAATTCCCTCAATGTCTTCAAATATCGAGCATTGTCTTTAGGTGTGGGAAGTGTTGGACGATCGACGGCGAAAGCACCAATCATGAATCAGCCCCCAGCTAACATGGGATCGTTCGATTAATGTGGAGTTGAGTCAACCATGACTCTGGACGATGGTTTTTGTGGCTACAACCTGCTATGAAGTTATAGGTGTGTTAATATGTTTATTTTGTAGTCAGCTCGTGTAGGACATTTTTTGCTGTGACACTGTCAACTACGACTGTCTGGAGTCATGACCAAAGCATAGACACGTTTAAAGTACCATTGGATGGCTGCATTGGTCTACGTCATGTGAACCAATGGTTGAGAAGCCCTGTGAGGCTGATATGGGGTAAACCTGGCCCCACGAAATGGCCTGTGGCGGCACATTGCAAGCCCATGTCACCTCAACAGCTCCAGTTCCTTTGTCCATGATTTATGATACTACAATTACGTGTCACATAAGCAGTTAAAAGTTTTGCTTAAACGAAGCCATAGTGTCGAAGGTCAGAATTGATAGTTGTTTCGGTCTTCTGGATGCCATATTACGAGTGCTTGTGGAAGCGAAGACTAACGATGCTTAGGACGCTTTACGAAACCTTAAGTATCAACAAGACGCGGCGATTCCCAGTTTTCATAACTTCGTGGCCCTAATGTCGTCATGGAAGTCTACATCTCAGCTCTGGTACTCTGACCATACAATCATGCATCCATCCGTTTGACAGCATCTGCCAGTATCTGTTTTTTTTTTGCGTTATGATAACAGTGCCGTTCATCGTTGCAATGACTTGGTAGCCCACATGGCAGTGTGGTGATACAGCCAGCTTCGCCGCAACCCACAGCGATGCACGATAAATCAATTAACCAGCATATGTTCCTCACTGGCCCTCGCCGCTCTAACCCCACTCCCCTCCGCAGCGTACCGCTCGCCTGGAGTCGAGCGCAAGGTCACCGAGGTCATGGCCACGATGAACGTGTCAGGCGCCGAAGACAGCGTCGTCCGGCTGGAGTATGTCGGCTACAACATCCTGATCCCAACCATCTCAGCGTGCGGCGTGCTGGGAAACACGCTCAACCTGCTAGTGCTTACGCGCGGTCAGATGAAGGCCTCCATCTATATATACTTCACAAGTGAGCTGGGGGGGGGGACATCAAGGGGGGGGGGGGGCAGGATCACGCCGTCCTGGTGCTGTGTGCTGGTTGTGGCGAACCCCTGCGCACAGTGAGCTGATTGGGTGGATGACGATTTAAGATATGCTGTCATGTCGCGTAATCTTTGGGTCTTCGCGCTATCCATGTACTTTCCGTGGGTCTTTGGAATTACGCTGTCATATCCTTTAAAATTAGGAGTCTGAATGTTGGCAATCAGTATGGCTGGTCACGGTCTGGCAGTTCTGCAAGGAAGAAGCTGCATTTTCATCGCCCTCCATGCCCAAATATTTACATGGTCAAACACTGCTGTCGCCGTGGGTATATTGCTGGTCTATCTGTAAACGAACCCACAATTATCATGTTCGGCGTGAGGTGACTGACAATAACTCAAACATCAATCGTCTTGCCGCCCACAGCATCAATCGGCCGGGTTGGACGCGCTGGGCCCTTGTGTCGTTGCCGATGCTGGGCCCGCTGCTGCGCCCATTCGTTACCAGGCCTCATCTGCAGCGGCCACCTGCCGCGCGGCCCCGTCCACTCCGTCTGCCATTTCAGCCGACAAAACAAAACGAATGACGCCAATATCCGAAGATAAACAGCGCGGCTCAGACACATGACAACACCACGTGATCTGCCTGTTCGCAGCCCTGGCCATCGCGGATCTGGTCACGTGTCTTCTGATATTCTTCAGCGGCATTGCCAAGGGCGCTGCCGCTGCCAGCTACTGGTGGCAGATTTTCGAAGTGTACTTGTACCTGGGCGTCGGCTCGATCTCGACCACCGTCTCCATAGCGACCATCGTCATGGTTACCGTTGAGAGGCTGATACTGATCAGGTGAGCTCTTCGTATAAACGCTCTTGTTGCGTTATTTCATCTCACTCCCACGGAAAGGGAATGATCGGGCCCGAGTGCTCTTGCGTCCAATCTCGGTCTGCCCTGTGGATTAAGGCCCAGTCATATGTCAGCCCTGCAGTGTTTGTAGCTGAGCTCAGCGATTCAAGTGCTGGGGTCATGCTTGTAGAATGACTGGTAACTTCCATTCATGCACTTCAATACACCAGTATGAACGATCAGTTTGTGCGATACACAAACTGGTTTGCAATATTACTTCAGTCATTGCCTGTGCACGTTATCTGCTGGAGTAATTTTCCGCCAACGCCATCCTAACCTACACATTTTATTCCGCTGTCTCTCAAACTAAATTAACTTTACGCTGACCTTGCGTTGTGCTGACCATTGTTGCGGACGAAGAGTATCAGCGAATCGTGTAGTAATTTTACGTTATCGTTAAACTCATCCCCTCAAGACAGTGCTGGAAATCCTTATCCTTTTAGTATATTTTCTTGCGTGATAACTCGTTCTATGTAGATTTGGCCTTCCGATTTCGCATGCTCAGCAGGTAGGTTTAATATATCGCAGGGAAAGTGATAATGTGAGCGTGGAATTGAGAGTGAGAGTGGGAGTGAGAGCGAGAGTGAGAGCGAAAGTGAACGTAGAGAGAGTGGAAATAGAGAGGGAGGGAGAGAGATAGAGTGGAGAGAGAGAGAGAGAGAGATAGAGAGCCTCGCGCTCTCTCTCTCTCTCTCTCGCTCTCTCTCTCTATCTCTCTCTCGCTCTCTCTCTCTCATCTCTCTCTCTCGCTCTCCTCTCTCTCTCTCTCTCTCTCCTCTCTCTCTCTCTCTCTCTCCTCGTCTCTCTCTCTCTCTCTCTCTCTCTCTCTCGTCTCTCTCTCTCTCTCTCGTAGAGATCTA